TCCTGGTCTCCCATTACACATATGCTGGTGTGGGCAGTGGTGTCCCAAATTTCTATGAGTGTAACAGCCCAAGCCCGTCTGCCTGATGCATAGCAAAGCCAATCACCAGACCCTAGGTTTGCAGCAAGGAAAGTGGTTTTTTGAGAGGCAAATGAGATGGGCAAGCCTGAAACCCACCTCCCGAAGGGGGACAGAACAAGTTTTTTATAACCATTAGGGGTTGAGGTTACACACATATTGATGAAGAGGGTGGGGAAGCTTATGACTATTCATGAGGAAGGATGGAGTGTGCACACTGAGCAAACACATAGGTAGCATATGCTCCATGTTCACTTTAGGGAGAGACTTGATGTCAGAGTGAGGCAAAATTCAGCTCCTGACATCAGGAGGTTATCTTAGGACAGGGAGTGGGGTACGGGCATGCTCCAAGAGCTGATATAACTCTGAGGGGGTCTTGGGCTCTATCTCGGGTAAGGAAGGCAGGGCCTTGCTTGTTCCTAGGCTGGAACCATATCAGTTGACCTGGAGTCCAGGCTTCTGTGATGACCACGAGTAGATTTGATAGTGGGGTCTGAAAAGACAGAGTAGCTGATTAGGAGGAAGCAGTTCTCTGAACTGTTTAAACTTCCTGCTAGTTGCAACCTCGTTAACCCTGTGGGGTACAATTTCATGAGGTTTTATTAATTTTTCTTCATTCCTTTTTTCCTCTCTGTTCTTAGATTGCATTGTCTCTTTGATCTCTTCTTGTTGGCTAATTCAGTTCAAATCTGCTGGACCCAACTAGTGAATTTTCATTTCAGTTTACTATATTTTTCAACTCCAGATTTGCCATTTGGTTCTTTTTTATACTTTCTATCTCCTTATTGCTATTGTCTATTTAATGCAACATTGTCATCATCTCTTCCTTTATTTAAGATGATTTTAATGGTTTCTGTCTTTGTATGTTAAATCCTACATCTCATTGCAATCAGGCAGTTTCTGTTGGCTGCTTTGTTTCCCTTGGTGTGTGGATCATACTTGTCTTTTTCTTTGCATGTCTCACAATTTTTTGGTAGAAACTGGACATTTTAGACAATTCTGGGTACTGCTACTTCCTCACCACTGCCACCCAAGGGCTTCTTATTGTTACTTGCTTTATTATTATTATTATTATTATTATTTAGTGACTCACTAGATTATTTTAGTGGAGTATGTTTCACACCAGCAGTGTTGAGCCTCTGTTGTTTCTTATTGGGGCACAGCCTTGGGTGTGCTCACAGTCACTTTGTGATGACAATTGTTTTGTTTTTGTGGGTTTTTTCCTGACCCACTCATAGCTATTAAGCTCCACTAATTGCTGGATGATATATTGTTTTCAATAATGCCCTGGGGTATAAATTGTTCCACAGCTGGGCCCACTCAAATTCAGGCCCTTTGATGGGATGTTCTTGAGCTCAGTGTTTTGAGATTTGTTCTGACCCCAGGCATGCTCTCCCCGGCTGTCTCCCCATCTCCCCACCCCACCAGCACTGCCCCTGCTACTTCTGCAAACTGGTCAGCCTGTAGGTCAGCCTATCAGTCCAATTGATCTACCAATCTCCTCCCAGTTGTCTTGGCTGGGAATGGGGACAGTGTCACACTTCTGAGTGATTCTCCCTCTTTAGGAGCTGAGTGCTTTGGGAAGGGGATTCACAGGGCATGGGGCAGGCCCTACCCTCAGTTCTGCTCAGTTTTCCTCTCTTGGTTTGGGACCAGCACATCATGAGCCAGGGCAAGGGCAGTCATATTCTGGGTGCACCGGGCTCAAAGTAGAGCCTTCGTACCACCAGGGGGTCTAGATGGGAGAGGGGAACCTCCACCACGTGGCTGTGTCAGCCTACAACTTAGCCTCAACATCAGGAGATGGATAGGGTGAGAAGTGCCGATGTGCTGCCCCTCCTGGGAAGAAAGCCCACTGACTGGTAGCTGGGTGGGGAGGGATCCCTGTGTTCTTGGCTGCACCAGTCAAGTGGAGTTCCCACCTTGCTGAGTTCAGAGAGGGGAGGGAGTGTGGTCTTGATTCAAACCGTGTAGACTCTTGCTCCAAATTGTAGGAGGTTTTCTTGAACAAATATTTGTTCATTTGCTCTATGTCTTTAGGGTCATTTCCAGAGCCTTTCCGTGTTTGTTTGTAAGGTTTCTTTAAAATAATTTTCACCAGTTTTACTGGGGAGCTGGTCTGCAGTTTATACTGCCATGCCCGAAGCCCCTACTCCTCTACTGCATGTGACACTTGTATTAGAATTATGTTTGGCCCTGTACAACAGAAGGTCTAAAGCAATATGGCTGTTAGTGAAGTCGAGACGCATGTGTCCCGGGTTGGTGGGTGTCTTCGGGGTCATCAGGGATGCAGACTTCCTTGTCTCACTGCTCTAGAAAGCTAAGATGCAGCTCCCATCTTCCTCATAATCTCATGGCCAGGACTCCAGCCGTCTAACCCATGTCACACACAGCAGAAATGAGGAAGGGGTAAGCACAAACCTGGTCTCTCTTTTAGGGAGCTTTCTCAGGAGCCCTGACAGCTTTTCCTTATATTTCATTGGCTAGAACTTTGCATCGATTTTCAACATTTTTAAATTAGAAGATTTTATTATGTGAAACTCCAGCTACTTACCTTCTCTTGGAAACCCTGGTGACCCAAGACTCTTGACAGCAGTTGGCTGGAGCCCAGGAGTAACTGCCTCATGTAGGGGGAGCACGTTAAAAAGAAAACCACAGGATCAAAATGGTGTCACTTAGGTTAAGTCCCCGAGACTATAAACCAGGGCTTCATACCTAAGGTCACTGCAGTGTCCCCCTCCTGCAGGAATACGACTCTTAACTGGTTAGTCAGGAGTTTTCTGACAGACAGCAATGGGGTCATCTATCAGGTGGGTTTCTCCGTCTCCCGAAGGAAGATGAGGTAATCTGCGCAGTAAGACCCTCTGCTCTTCTCCTGAAACAACCTTTCCTTGCCTCTTGCCTTACAACTTTCACACCCACTCCCCTTCCCTTAAAATCTTCCATTTCATACAACTCCTTGGAGCGCCCCCTGCTCTGTCAATGGGATGCTACCCGATGCATGGATCGTTTAATAAAGCCAATTAGATTTTCAAATTTACTCAGTTGAGTTTTTTTTCACAAGGTCAGTGCCTGTTCTCAGTAGTAATTGAGTTCAGACTGTTGGCTTGGAGGGGAAAAGGAATAAGGGGGAAGAGAGCCGGCTGTGCATGGGGCTTCTGAACTTTGAATACTTGTTTGAAAGTCTAGCAATCCATGTTTTATAGCAAGCAAATGTGTCAGTTGTTTTGCTCTAGTTTTCTGTGTCATTCATTCAACAAATCTTTATTGAGAAACTTAGATATAAGTGCTGCTGGCGTGCTGGCAATACAGAGGTGGGTGAGGAAAACGGACGGGGATTCTGGGACTTGTGAAGCTCACATCCTGATGGAGGGACGGTCGGTAAACAAGTAAAATATGTATTACTGTATCAGATGGTAGCTGAGGACTCTGAAAACTTGGCAGGAAAGGACCAAGGGGAGTGGGAGTGTTTGAAATAGGAACTGAGCAATTAGGGGCAAGCCACTGAGGAGGGGACCTTTGAGCAAAGACCTGTGGCAGGTGAGGAAGTGAGCCACCTGGGGAGGGGTGGTGGGGAAGGGTTGTTTTTAGGCCCCAGAGAGTAGAAAGGGGAGTCCCTGAGGCCGCAGGAAGCCTTGCTTTGTTGCAAAAACAGCCAGCTGGGTGAGGGATGAGCAGCATGAGGGTTGGCTGAAAAGCCAACCACAGTCCTCTGACTTCTCCTTCAGTGGCTCTGGATTTTGCATGGAGAAGAGACTTTAGGCCAGAGGTTCCCTTAGGCAGGTTTGTTAGACTAGTGCAGGCAAGGCGTGCTGGTGGTTTGGAGCAGGGTGTAGTGGGTTCCTGAGAAGGGACTGGACGCTGGCTGTATTTAAAGGTGGGACAGACAGGGTTTGCTGTTCATTTACCTGCAGGTTTGAAAGGAGGAGACCGTTCTTTTCTTTTATTTTTTTTTTAAGATGTTATTTATTCATGAGAATACACACACACAGAGAGAGAGGCAGAGGGAGAAGCAGGCTCCATGCAGGGAGCCTGACGTGGGACTTGATCCCAGGTCTCCAGGATCACGTCCTGGACTGAAGGCGGCGCTAAACTGCTGAGCCACCCAGGCTGCCCAGGAGGAGACTGTTCTTATCAAGGGTTAATGCAGGTGGAAGAAAGGAGACTGGCAGGGGCAGGGAAGGGCCAGAACTGGGGGGGCCCAGTTTTAGACCAGTGAACGTTCACGATGCATGTTAACGATCCAGCAGGAGATGTAGGTTAGGCCCTTGGGTCCCGAAGTGTGGTCTGGGAGTTCCTGGGCGTAAGCCGTATTTCTGTTGGGCTGAATGAGCTCACCAAGGAAGGGGGAGCTCACCCACAGGGAAGGGGCCCAAACGGGCTGAGCTGCGAGCCAGTCTAGCACCAAGAGCTTCAGGAGGAGCAGGCTCCTGGAGGGCCTCCGAGAAGGAGCTGGGGGCGGGTGGGGGGGGGGGAGGAATGGGACCTGGGGGCCACAGGACACTTCTCCCTGTCTCCCTGCAGCCGGAGGGGAGGACGGAGAATGGAGGCAGGTGGGGGAGGCAGGTGGGTGCGGGGTTGAGACCTCGGCAGGCCGGACTGTGCTGGTTGCTCCAGTTAGATCCCTGTGGCAGGAGGCGGGCTCCCCCGCGGGCGTGGGCATGGAGGTGGGGGCGGGGAACGACAGGTGGGGCAGGTGGCAAGTCCTCCGGGACAGCGGGAGGGAGAGGGCGAGGCAGGGGCCCAGGGCAGGTGGGCAGTGTCTGGTCTGGACCTCGTGGCTGGAGCAGCCAGCCAGGGAGCGTGGGGTGGGGGAAACGCTGGGGCGGCAGGGCTGGGGGAGTGCAGGGCTGCCAAGGAGGTTGAGGTGCGTGTGCTCAGCCGTGAACTGTCTCGGGTGTCTGTCCTCTGGCCCTGTCCAGTCTCTATGATCTAGAACTGTCATCATTTTTCCCACGGTAGGCAATCCAGCCAGGGTTTTCTCTTCTCTTTTCCTTGCTTTTCTTTTTCTTTCTTTCTTCTTGTGTGTGTGATGGGCTGTTTCAGTCTCAGAGGCCCCCAGTGCGGTACGCAAGGAGCGGCCCCGGGCCGTCCCCCCCAGCAGGTCTTCTAGGGTGACTGGCCCGCGGCAGCCCCTCCCACGCCGGGCACCTCCAGTTTGAAGGATCGCTTTTGAGCTTGAGGACTGTCCTCTACTGTTCTCTCCTAACCTGTTCATGAACTCCTGAGAGCAGAGTGTCCCCTATCTTCTGATGTGCACAGCGCTTAAGTGGTTGGCTCTCAGGCTCTGAATTATCCTCCTTTATTAATATTCCGCCTCCGTTGTGAAGGATGGGCTGTTTGTACTGCTCCTGTTCTCTGGGAATCTTCGGGGCCGCTGCTTCCCAGCGTGCGTAGTGTCAGGTCCTGTCGTCCTGTCACAGGATCCGGGGCTCCGCTGCCTGTCCTGGGAGGACTGGCCCAGTGCTCCTCCTGAGAAGCCCCACCCAGGGACTGAGCTGGTCATCTCTGTCAAGTGCTGAAATATTGGAGCCAGATGTTTCGGGGGCTCATGGAAACACGAGCTGTCCATCTGCCTTCAGGCCCGGCTCCTCAGATTGTACCAGGGTTCCAAAGGGATTTTAATTTTTTTACAAAAAAGATCCAGAGACTGGGAAGGTGGGTAGGATAAATTTATTTTGGAAGGTGGATGGTATAATTTGCACACGTGGGAGGCAAGAATAATTAGTGTGAGGAGAACCCTGCAGACCTGTAGCTCTAGAAGGAATGTGAGAGCCGGATATGCCCTTGCGCTGGAGTCAGGGGAACAAAAGCACCACGAAGTTCTACGTAGGAGGAAGCACACTTGGGTCTGTCTGGACCTCATCTCAGTGAGGACACATGTCACGCCTGGGGAATGGGGCTTGTTCATCACTGTGTTAGGTAAGACCCAGGAACCGTGTCTCCTGGTGGTGCCCATGTGCTCGTTGTCGGGGGCAAGTATGGGCTGATCTGGAAGCCGCCTCCGTGGAGGGAGAAGACCTGGCCTCCAGGGAACAGCAGAGGCTCCTACCTGCCAGGCCTGGGCTGCTGGCATGGGTGAGGCTGGAATTCAGATGAGGGAGCAAGCCCTGCTAGCATGAATGGAGGCCACACTGAGAGCAGGACTTAAGGGATAAGGGGGATTAGCCTGGCAGAGGAGGTCAGGTATGAGGAGGGGGGAGGTGCCACAAAGAAGGGTTTGGGCTCCGCTCTTAGCCTGGGAAAGTGGCTCATGCTTTGGCTGTTTGCAGGTCCCTTAGGATTCCGTGGGAGCAGAGGAGAAGCCACTGTCTTCACCCCAGACCGCTTCCCCCATTCCTCCTCGCCTCCGCCCCCCTGGAAGTGGCCGTGTCCGCCACAGGGCCTCTCCGAGCCTGGAGTGCCGCCCCCTTGGTTTAATCCTTCTTTGCTATTCATTTTCTCTGCTCCTGGTAACCCTATGGGCACCCCCTCCTCGGAGTCTCCGTTCTCAGGCCTGCCCAAACCGTATTTCTAAATCACAAATTTAAATCATGGAAGTCCTTTGCGTTAAAAACTGGCTATTCTCCACTGTCCACAGGACAAAGTCTGAACTTCCGGCCTGTTATAACCTGGCCCCAGCCTCCTTGTTCTGGCTGCGTCCTGGGTCTGAATGACCATTTAGGAGAAGTAAAAGTATTTTACAGCAAAGTATTTAAATTTTCTATAGCCCATGGTGCTAACAGGACAGACTGTTCCAAAACACTTGGGATGTATGAGGCCAACATAGTTTCCTTATTAACCATTCATAGTACAGCACAGAAGCGCTTATATTTATAATGGCCTCCTATCACCAAGAAAAGTTGAGACCTGAGTATTAACTTCTGTTTTAAAAGACAGCAGAAAGAAACAGCACCTTTGGGGAAGGATTTCTACCCAAAATGACAACATTTTTAAAAATCTGTGCTCAAAGAGATAGCTTCAGACATCCGTAGAACATACTTATGATGCACCCCAAGGAAATGTGAGGGGGTTGGCAGGCACACACAGGTCCTGACGGGTCCTCGCAGATAAGATTGGAGTGATCGATCGCAAGGAAGCAATGACAGATGTCCTGGACTCGCCTGTGCCGGCCCTTCGGTGGAGTCAGGCCTGAGGGACCAAGCATCACACATGCCATTCCTTCTTGCTCACTGATGTGATTAGCACCTCTTGGAAATGGAGGCAGGTTCTTTTCTGACTGAGCACACGGCAGATAAGAAGCCAGGTGAGACACAGACTGGAGTGGCATGCCCTGAGCATGTTCCAGGAGTGGGAGCCGACGGGGGTAAATCCCCACAGAGCAAATGAGAGGCAGGAGAGTCGCCTTCCCTCAAAGAGAACAGATCTGGTCAGCAGTTGTCGGGGCAGAGGTGGCAGTTTTAATTGGGGCAGAAGGGTCGTTGCCTCCCAGGGAGGCAGCATCCTCAGGGCCCTGGAAGGTTCCAAGTGCCCTCAGGTGCCCCCCTCCCCAGAGGAGTGCAGAGGTTGTAGTGTGTTTTACCAACCCGATTCCGTGGGCGGCGTGGACATTCCACGCATACACACTTGAAGGGGGTGGCGGCGCCAGGAAAGTGGCTGGAGCTGGTCCTTCCCACGGGGGATGAGGTTGCCTGCTCGCTGCCGTGGAGCCAGCAGTGGGGGTGGCCAGGGGGTGGCCAGGGAGCCATGCTGCTGCCTCCTGGGTTCTCTTAATCCTGCTGGGGCCCAGCGGGTGGCCCGAGAAGCCTGAATTGCGGGTTGGTTCCTGGCTGGCCTGCTGTGTATACGAAGTGGATGAGCCTTGTTAGCCAGGGAGTCCTTGCAGGCAGCTCTTGCTGAAGTCGAGCCAAGCTGGTCCAAGGGAAAACAAAGCTGCAGGAAACATGGAACTTTCTTACACCTTCTTGGAAATGCAAGTCATGTTGCCCAGGAAATCCTTGTCTCCCCTGGGGTGCCGCGCACCGCCAGCTCTGGAGCTGCAGGAGAGGCCGCTGCTGTCGGTCCCGGAAGGCGAGTGTCACCCTCCCTGCCCTGAGGCGGGTTCCTGGGAGCGCACGTGGCCGAAAGGAGACAGCGCTGAGGAGACCGGGCTGGGCTCCGGAGGCGGAGGTGCTTACGTGCGGGCTCCTGCACACGCCAGCCGGGCTGGGGGCCGCTGAGGGCACGCGTGGGGCCGTGTGCAGAGGTCCTCGGTGCCGAATGCAGTGTGATGAGCGAGAGGGTGCCCATTGGCTGGAAGCATGTAGGTAAACAAGGGCAGGTCCGTATGCAGCGGGTGCAGCCTCCCGGCTTGGCCCCAAGCAGAGGGGAGTCTGCTGCGGCGGGCGGGAGGAGCCCCCTGCTTGTGCTTGTGGGGACACTTGTACAGTATCACCTCCCACCTGCCCAGGCAGCCTGGTGCCCGTGAACTGCTTGCTCTGTGTCAGGGGGCCCAGGACGCGGTGATGGAGAAGGCGGGGGGCAAGCCGTCCTTCCTGGCGACCCTGGGTGACCCGCAGGTGACCCTAGTGTCGGTGCACAAGCGGTGGTCCTTCAGGAGGCCCCCTGGGGCCCGGGGCTCCACCAGGCCAGTGCCTGAGGAGGAGGAGGAGGGCGAGTTGTCACAGAAGGGTTTGAATGGAGCGCGGGGCATCGGTGGCGATCAGGTCAGTGCGCTGCAGACGCTGCGGAGCCCCGGGGGCCTTGGACGGCTTGCACGGCCCCTGGACGCTTCTCCCCGGGGACCAGGGGACCAGGGGCCCAGGGCAGCCGGCGGGGAGGGAGCCCGGGGAGGGAGCCGGGGAGGGAGCCAGCCGGGTGGCCTCCGGAGGGCGTTGCTGCTCAGGGTCCAGGGTATCTTGTAAGCCTCTGCAGAGCCAAAGTTTTCCAAAGGCAGGTCAGATAAAAATGGGTTTTCTCCTCTCTTGTTTTTTAAAATGTGTACAGTGTTCTGTCAATCTCCACATTTCAACTAAATAAATATTTTGAGCATGGTGCTGCAAAAACAAAGCAGCTCTTCTTAAGCAGATGAAAGTTTTGTTAACCCAAAGGTCAGGTCATGTTTAAAAGTAGGGCAGTGTAACGTTTTACAAAAGTAGTGGCTTTTAGTAGCCTTTCTGGGTTGGGACTGGGGGTTCGTGGGCTCTTTTTTATTGACAAAGGCAGATGGAAAGAAATACCAGTTAGATACAAAGGAATATTTTCATGAGTTTTTGCTTTGCCCCTTTAAGAGTTTTGTTTCTTCTGGCTTTTATTGTTTAAAAAGTCCCAAAAGCTAAAGGAAATTTTGTCAAAAGAGATTTTTGAAATGTGGTACACAAGAGATTTACAGTTGTTGAAGGAAATTTATGAATGTCTCTTATGCAGTGCATGGTCAGCTTTTGTATTTTTTAGTTGAGCGTCTAAGATAGCAAAATATTAAATTTGGAGGAGGGGAGGGAGGATGCCTGACATTATTTTAAAATGTTCAGACTACTGCTTTATAAAATCTAGCCTGTGTCTATTTGAATGTGAAATAGTTTATTTTTTAATGGCCAGTACTAAACTGGCATGAGTAGAGGAGCAGTCTGAACCTGGCTGGGGGGGCCCTTGAGGAAGGAGGACCCAAGTGGGTGCTGGGGTAGAGGCTGTGGTCCTGACGGTCTGGTGCAGATCTGCGCCCTGCCGTTGCCGGGCTGGGGGACCTGGCAGGAGAGTCTGACTCCTCCAGCCTCAGATTCCCCACTGCAAAGTGGAATCCTAAGTCCTGACCTGTGGGATTGTGAAAGCACTTGGTAGAGTGCTGTAGAAACGCAAAGTGGAGCGGTTTCTGCCCAAAGTAGGATATTCAGTAGAATTCCCAACTCAAGATGTGTTCAGTGCTCTCTCTTTTTTTTTTTATTTTTTAAAGATTTTATTTATTTATTCATGAGAGACCCAGAGAGAGAGAGGCAGAGAGAGAAGCAGGCTCCCTGCGGGCAGCCCGACATGGGACTCGATCCCGGGACCCCGGGGTCATGGCCTGGGCTGAAGGTGGCACTAAACCGCTGAGCCACCCGGGCTGCCCAGTGCTCTGTCTCTGAATATCTGCTAGAACCGTGTCAGCCGATTCCTCTGTCGGAGCACAGTTGCAACTATTTTTTTCTAAAGCTCTGATTATAAGTAATATGTGCTCATTATACAAAACAAATTTAAGATGAAGCAAGGGGAATAGAGAAAAGTTATTAGGAAGAAAACGTAAGCAAGCGTATACTCCAGCCATATATGTGAACATGTATCTATTTATTTATTTACAAGTATAGGACCAGATGGTACCTAATATTCTATACCTTACATTTTTTACTTAATATTTTGTGGACATATACCACACACATATGAGATAGATATATATTTACATCTATATACACATCTATTTCATCAGGTTTAACTGCAGTCCCACTTTAGGGTTATCTTTTGAAAGAATTTAAATGAGTTATTCTCAAATGGGGAAACTTTGTAGTAGCTGGTTTAGGATGATAAGAACCCAGCTAAGGTCATTTGTAACTGAGTACTTGTTCCATACCAACAGGGTATTGACTGAAAGTCTATCATAAATTAAACTGAATCTACTTGAGAGTTACACTATTTAGTACTTGGTATGAATTTTTGATCATGGCCATTCTAACAGGCCAGAGGTGATATCTCATTGTGGTTTTGATTTGTATTTCTCTGCTAATTAGCGATGTTGAGCACCTTCGTATGTACCTGTTGGCCATTTGTATGTCTTCTTTGGAGAAATATCTACTCTTTTCCTCTTCCTATTTTTTAATTGTGTGTGTGTGTATAAATATAAATATATGAAAATTAATGTACATGTACATATATTTTGTCATTGAATTTTATGAAATTTTTATGTATTTTGGTTGTTAACCCCTTATCAGATATGTAGTTTGCAAATAGTTTTTCCCACTCCATGTGTTGTCTTTTCATTTTGTTGATGGTTTCTTTTGCTGTGCAGAAACTGTAGCTTGATGTGACCCCACTTGTTTATTTTTTCTTTTCTTGCTGTGCTTTGTCATATCCAAAAAAATCATTGCCAGGATCCATCTCAGGGAGCTTTTTCCCTGTTTTCTTCTAGAGTTATATGGTTTCTGGTCTTCTATTTAAGTCTTTAATCCAGGGACTCCTGGGTGGCTCAGCAGTTGAGCCTCTGCCTTCGGCCCAGGGCATGATCCTGGAGACCCAGATCCCGCATCAGGCTCCCTGCATGGAGCCTGCTTCTCCCTCTGCCTGTGTCTCTGCCTCTCTCTCTGTGTGTCTCTCATGAATAAATACATAACATCTTAAAAAAAATAAGTCCTTAATCCATTAGGGTTAATTTTCATGAATAGTGTAAGATATGCGTTCATTTTCATTCTTTTACATGTGAATATCCAATTTCTCCAGCGCCATTTGTTGAAGAGATTATCTTTTTTCCTCCATTGTGTATTGGCTCTTTTATTTATCTATTTTTGTTTGTTTTTTATTGGCTCTTTTATTAAATATTACTTGAGCATACATTATTTTTTTTTAGTTTTTTTTAAAAATCTGCATTTCTTTTTCTGAGGATTATTTTTAGTATCAAGTTCCTATTGTACAATATAGGGTAGTATACACTATAAATATGTGTTTACACCTAAGTCTTTCAAGGGACTATATTTAGTTTTGTATTGAGCTGATTATACCTATGATTCTAAGCAAAAACTTAAATTCACTAGCCATTATAGAATACAATTTTATGATAAAATACTAGCTGCATTATTTCACCAGATCTCGACAGCCATATGGAATTTATAGGTAATAATAATTAGCAAAAATAATCCTGAGTTCATTGACTTCTGTCATATAATTATCTGAGTTAATAGTGTGACATTTCTTCCAACCCGTGGTACTCTTGCACATATTTAATGTAAGGTCTCTACATTGTGATTTTATAATTCTGGGAAATGACATAAGGAAATTATGACCGTATGATTGTGACTTAGACTGTTTCATTCAAATGTAAAAACGTATTTGAAGATGTTGACAGTTGCTCTGTAGTGACGGGCCTGTAAAAATTTCTTTGATAGGAGGGGTTTGAAATACAGTATTATCAGAAAAGATTCTGAAGCAGAAAAAAAATGCTGTTGATTTGGTAAATGTCTGGTGGAATAATTGTTGCGATAAACTTAAGTTAAAAGCAACAAAATTCTCTGAAATGGATAATAGTAAGGCTGTTTGGAACGAGATTGTGAACAGGTTTTCTGAGGTAATAATTGTGAAGCGCTTCTTGGAGAGATCTTACAGTTTGTGCACTTCTAAATTTTATTTTGTCATATGTAGAAAACAACATGCATTGTATGTATATATTGAGACTGGTTAATTTCACTTTATTCACTTTTCCTCCCGAACAAATAATGGGTATCCTGCATCCAGTTTCTCAGTAAGAGTTAATACTTTTCCCTGCTGTGGTCAAGAGAAGGAAACAGGCAATATATTTGTCCAGAATTTTCCAGAAAGTACAGTCAGCACCGGAGCTGGGGTGGCCCTGAAGGCCAGAGATCCAGGGGTCGCAAACACAGCCCAGGCACATAGTTGGCCCTTATCAGTGTCTGATTTAATGCCAGAGTTTTGGTTAGTTTGTTTTTTCAGCAGATAAAATTTAAATAACAATTGTTGGAAGCTCTTTCTGGACCTTGGTGAATCATCATGAAAAAACAGTTTGAAGGGGTTGGAGTGGGGTTTGGGGGAATATGTACACTAGTTTTAATGATTAGTTTTCCCTATCAGTTAAATGATGGAAACACTAAGTTCCCCGTCTACTTTCTTGGGCCACTTTTGAGGACCAAAGACCAAATGTTTGTCTTCCTAGTCATTGATTTTCAGACATTTATGATGCGGATGTTAGCTTTTTAAATTCAGGCCTTCCTGCCAAACTGTAGGATGGGCATCATTACTACCCTATTTTACCCCTAACTAAAAAAAAACAAGGTTCTGATTTGCTCAGACATGACTAGAATTCATACCCAAGACTGTCTATGAATTCACAGCAAGTAAGGAGGACAGATTTTTTTTTTTTTTAAGATTTTTATTTATTTATTCATGAGAGACCCAGAGAGAGAGAGAGGCAGAGACACAGGCAGAGGGAGAAGCAGGCTCCATGCGGGGAGCCCGACGCGGGACTCTATCTCAGGTCTCCAGGATCAGTCCCTGGGCTGAAGGCAGCTCTAAACCGCTGAGCCACCCAGGCTGCCTGAAGGACAGATATTTAAATAAATATGTGAAAAT